TTTTTGCTTTGTTTTGTTGATTTTTGTTTAGTCTAATATTTTCAACTTCACGTTGGTCGAGCTTTGCAGTAAGTGCTTTCGAACTACTTGAATCATCAAGTTGTTTAATTAATTTTGCTCAATTGTTTTCGAGACTGATCCCCGGAGAGAAGTACCTTTTTGTAATTAGAACTATCCTAAATATTTCCTTTAATTTTGCAGTGTTTGTTATGTTGTACGAATATTTGAATTTCTGGAAGTACAAACATACCACATACAAGCTAGATGAACAAAAAAATAATGAAAATCCCCTTATCAAAGGCTATAAAAACGAAAATTGAATTAAATCTATTCATTTCTTGAAAGGCTTGAGAAAGTTTCTCAACAAATTCAGTAAATAATGATTATTTTTTATATATAAAATGAGTATATATTAGGTGGGGTTGTTTTAAATGCACAGCTTTTGTTTGTCTTTTAGGGAACCAGCGCTTAACTTTTTAATGAGAAAAGCACTGAAATGCTCATAAATCTGACATCAGTACTTAGAGTGATTGACGTTCTGAGCTTATTAATTTTGAGGAACGATAGCTTTTGAACGAGATGTTAGAGAGTTAGATGATAAATATATTCCTAGATGAAAAACTGGATAGGAATGGATTGGAATTCAAACATGGATTGAACTCGATAGTTCATTCCGATGGTACTAGAACAATTTTTTATGAAAATAGAAATAATTTTATATTTTAGGTGCTTTATTGGTTTCTGATCTAAAATTCATCAATCATGAATTTTATTTCAAAAAATCGAGAATAAGTTTGAAGTCCAAAATCCCTCATTCCAGTCCAAAACAATAGAATTTTTTTGGCTTTGCTTTCTTTGACTGGTGGTTCTTCTGACATAAGCCAAGTATATCAAACCGAGTTATTTCTTTCAGAAATGGCCAACTTTGAATATGACATGAATTTTAGCGCTGTTACAACAGTGCGACGAAGAGGCAAAACTCGACTTCTGTTTGTGATCATGATTTTATTGGTAATAACATCAGCTGTAGTGGCTTATTTTGTCGGTTATTACGTTAGAATCAATACCATTCAACCCGCTGAGGATAATAACCAAGAATATCACAAAAGATACCAAGATTCTGTGGACAATAAGAAATTAGAGGATAATTTAAGGTACGTTTTCAAGTCACTTTTCGGTTTCAAAACGAAGTCTGACCGTACGTTTACTTTCTGAAAAGGATTAAGCAAATCTTTCAGTTGACTAGGAATTAATTGCGTTGCTCCAATATAATATAGTTTCTAAAGATTCTTCATGGCTCATTATTGACGTAGGATTCAACAAGAAATAAACTCAAAACCAAGCTAAGTTAGTTTCACTGCAACGTTTGCCGCCGGCTCGAGGTTCCCTGTTAAATGCCAGTCATCATCATCAGACGAAGCTCTATCTTAAACGCATGTTATTAAGTTCGAATCGAAAAAGGGGGGGAAATGAGCTCCTATAAACTTTATTGATTTCTGATCAATTCAGTTAAAAATGACTTACAAGTAAAGATTTATAATTAGACCAGTTGGTCACACTAAAAAGAAACTAAAAAACAATTTAGGCCACTCGATCTAGGGGCCTCGCAACTTCCCTCCAAAACACCAAACAGACATAGGGGACAGTCGACATAGGGTAGAAAAAAATTAATTCCAATTGTCAAAGCTGTCGTTTATCTTATCTGTATCGATGGCAGTATTGAAGTTCTCCAACGACGAGTTTTCGAGCAAATTTATTGGCTTTCTTGAAGTTAATTTAATGATGAACTTAGACATGCTTAATTGTCTGCTGAGAAGATAAAGTGCTTGATTGATGTCTTCATTAGCATATAGGCACTGCATTAGTTCTTAAAAATGCGCTAACTATATTTTTGCAGGTTCTTTAGATTACTCACCG